GGGTCACAGCCACGCCACCGCGGTGCGTAGATTATTATACCTCGCCGGCGGCTTATCCAATCGAGCGTAGACAGTGAAAGTAATATGCAGAGACGGCCATTGCACGCGTGTATTGGCATCTATATATAACGGCGTTCCGCGCGAGCGAGGCGATTGTAAAAATTTGACATTTAAAATCGATCGTGACTTTAGCGATAATTCGTTAAACCACCGATCGACCGGTCGGACCTTGTTTCCACAAAGGTGGACAATTAAATCCGGGAATTTTTTTTCCTCTCCTCCCACCGTTGAAGGCCGCGGGGGAAAAAGCGCCGTTTAATGCACCGACATCGCGCGCGTTTCTGGGATTAACTCGGGATCTTCCATCCACTTTAGAATCGCGATCGTTTTTCATGCCGCGCGATAGAGACGCCAATTGAGATGGCGGTCGTAAAAAGGGTTCGCTCGACTTGAAAGAAAACATCTTAAAAGAAGTTAAAAGGAGTTATTCCGTTGAGTTATAAATTCGATGGGCAAACTTGATATAGGAATTATTAAAAATTACGGGCTTCAATAAAGTTCAATAAATTATCTTTATATTATCACGAGAGATCTTCTATTATTGAATGTCACTTCAAAACACACACACACAAATTTGCATTCACATTTTTTGCTTGTTATTTCAAATAGTCCGCATGTTAAAGACATACGTTTTATAAACATATTTGACGTGTAACTCTATCAAAACATTGAAATAAAACATTTCGCGCACAAAAGGGCCAAGGGAGTAAATCCGGTAAAAATGGGTCAAGGGCACTTTTCAGTTATTGCTTCGGCTTTTACTGTAACACGACATCAATGTGACAAATTACTAATCACTACAAAATATAAATGACAACTTTGAATGGAAAATTACATGTTATTATCAATATATACAGATAAGTAAATAAGAAAGAGAAAATGTGGTTAATGGAACACTTGGTGCAATAATATTTTTCGTATACTTTCAAGTTCATGGATACATGACATAGCATTAATTTATATTACGAGCAATAAGAAATAATCGCATTACCGGTAAATCTTATCAGCGCCCTTGTTTGTTGAGAGAGAGAGAGAGAAGGGGAGGAGAGAGAGAGGAAGGGGAGAGAGGAGGGAGAGAGAGAGAGAGAGAGAGAGAGAGAGAGAGAGAGAGAGAGAGAGAGAGAGAGAGAGAGAGAGAGAGAGAGAGAGAGAGAGAGTAGAGAGAGAGAGAGAGAGAGAGTAGAGGAGAGAGAGAGAGAGAGAGAGAGTAGAGAGAGAGAGAGTAGAGAGAGAGAGAGAGAGAGTAGAGAGCGTACGTACGTACGTAACGGTAACGTAACGTACGTAACGTACGTAGTAGTAACGTACGTAACGTAACGTAACGTTAACGTAACGTAACGTACGTAGTAGTAACGTAACGTACGTAAGTAGTAACGTACGTAACGTAAGTAACGGTAACGTACGTACGTAACGTAAGTAGTAACGTAACGTAACGTAACGTAACGTACGTTAACGTAACGGTAACGTAGTAAGTAACGAAGTACGTAACGTAACGTAACGTAACGTACGTAACGTACGTACGTACGAGTAAGACGTTACGTAAGTACGTAAGTACGTAACGTAGTACGTACGACGTAGTACGACGACCGTAACGAAGAACGTACGTAACGTAAACGTAACGTACGTACGACGTAGACGTAGTACGTACGTTACGTACGTAAGTAACGTACGGTAACCGGTTAACGTAACGTTAACGTAACGTAACGTACGACGTAACGTAAGTAACGTACGTAGTAGTACGAGAGTAAAGATAGTAGAATGATAGAAGAGAAGAGAGAGAGAGAGAGAGCGCAAATATTCCCCGGTGGGGTGAAATATAAATAAAAATAATACACGTGCTCGAATCATACACGTTTTCCACGTTCCCCGAACGTTTATCACCATTATCAATCGTTATTGCACGCTGCAACGGAGTTATGAAACTGACTGGTTCTACGTGCGTTAGCCTTTGTAAAGTGGCGCAATCGACATTTCTTTCGCGGCGGAACAGAGGGGAAAATAGCGAGATGATTATGTAATTACATACCTATAAACGGCTTTATGTGGTACGAGGTTATCTTTTCCGTCTCCTCGTGACTTATGCATCGGCGATTCTAATGAACCCTCTAATACCCCCTCCCCCTCCCCCCCCAAGCGTCGAAATACGCTCTCTATTCAACACGACGGGGACAACTTTTCCCGGCCAATAAACAACCGGGGCGATAAATTCCGTCCCCTGAAGAAACAAAGACGTTGATTTTTATTATCTCGAACCGATGGCCCGCTCTCACACGTTTATTCCGGAAAATGGTCCGGAAAACTCCCGCCCCGGCACAAGTCACGTACATACCCGCGCGTTATTCAGCGAGAAACTTTCTGAATGTCCCATCGGGAGCCGACCCGTCAGGAGTGTCCGAGTGTAAAAGAGCTTCCTTGCGAAAGAGTGGAAAGGATTTTGCAAAAGTTTTCCTGCGACGCGAAAATCTAACTTCCGTCATCCGTGACGCGCGTACGTATTAGCGCGACAATGAGCAATGAGATATTTTTGACGATAAGTTTCTGACGCGTCGACGGCGGTCCTTGCCAAAATTATGTAACCGGAAGTTACAACTTCATCGAGAATCGAGGCGAATCGAAACGGAACTGGCGTCCCATAAAAGCGTGTCTCCGCGCTTCGGAGTCGGGGATCAAATTACCGAATTGGATTTCAACTTCTCGAGATCCCTTTAATTTTCTTCCATTCCTTCCAATCCGTGATTTATACTTTTTGCGAGAAGCTAGACGTATGATAATTTTATTTCAAATCTCAAATGTGCACCTCGTGAATCTTCGGCAGCCGCGGGATATATGATTAAACATTAAAAAAAAAAGAAAAAGAAGCGTTTTATGCGTCCGAGCGTTAATTGCTTCTGCGGGATAAAGCCGCAAGATAGAGCCGTTATTAAATCGTAGGTATGGAAAGGAAAATTCAAAATTCATTTTATGCATCTCTAGATAATTTTTTATGAAAGTCAATATTAGGGGTCTCCGAATGAAAATCTTGCTAAAGTTTGCTCGATATTATAAAGAGAATAATTGCGATTTTTCCACTCTACATTTTTATCCCAGAATTTGCAGAAATTATCCGTCGATACGCCGGACTTTCCACCGCGAGCGTTAACGCGTATTCCCCCTCCCTCCCCTCCCCCCACCCTCTCCCTGTGCAACTTCGCATTGTCCATTATCTCTCTCAAGTGGATGCATTAATGCAATGCGACACAGTCAGACGTGCTTTATCGAGAAATTATTTATTCCGTATTCGATAATTCGGAATAAATAATTATCGCGGCTTGACAGCCGCGATCTGCACGGGAGGTTCTCTTCTGTGCGCGACCTCGTCGCGTTGCATGCACCATTCACTTCGCGCACAATGCAAACCTTACAAGCAGAACGTATCCGCCACTCAGCAGCCGAACGTGTCGTCGCTCGATTAATACGCAAGCGGGACACGATAGAATTCGATTAGAACACATGTCCTCGCCGGTTACGTCCATTCCCCCCTTGTACGTTCGTTCGTCCCCTGCGAAACGCGCGTCGCGCGCCTCATTCATTATTGACAAGATCGTGCATCGTGCACCAGAACGAAAAGTATCCGTTCCGTTCCGTGTTGTTTCACAACCATTAGGATTTATGGTACGACTTCGAAACGGCAGGATCTTTCGCCGTTTCCTTTCTCCCCCTCCTTCCTTCACCCTCGATTTGCAAAATCAGTCGCGAAAATCGAGAGCAAATACCGTATCCCCCGTATTCGCATTGTTGTTTGTTTGCACCAAACATGGGTTGATGTTACACGCTAGGTGATGCTCGATATTTATGAGCGACCTTTCCTTTGATGGACCTACCTATACCCTCCCCCTCCCCCTCCCCCTCGCGCCTCTGCGCGTAGTCCTATTATTCGCGAGAACGCGATAAACTTTCCCATCGATCATATTATACTATCAAATGCTTTCAATATTGTATTATGTGAGATAATTATTTACCGTACCATCAATCGTAGACAATGATGGATGACGCTAGTTGAAAATTTCCTTGTTTTAAGCTTTCCTCATTTTCGGTCACGGGATTAATTATTTTCTTCTTGAAAACGGATATAATAGTTGTTTGCGCGCGTATAGAAAAAAGTGACGGGCAATAAAATTGATACGCGTCGTTCCTTTTTCTTTCTCGCGAAAATAGGTCAGCTCGAATTCGGGGATTGTTCATAATTGTCCATCGTTCGGGGGTATTAGATTTTGCTCGAAAGTAACCACATTTCAAGAAAATAATTCTATTTGCGTTAAAACGAAAATAAATAAAGCGACGTGAACTTCTCCCGCGCTGAAATGCCCTGACTCATGCAATCAAGCTTATATACTAATTATTTTCAAGTATAAATAATATCTTTCCTCTCTGCTCCATTATTCGTGTCGTCGGGTCAGCTTGTCAAATTGTCTTTAGGTAAACCGTTTTAAAGCATTTCGAACTGTTGGTATAGAAACGCTCGCAAATTCCCACTGTTAATTAGCTCGTGTAATTACAATTGAAAATTGCGAATGGAATCTCCCTGAACTTCTCTGAACGACCAATTTTTCCAAAGGCTAATTACACGCTATGTAAGATTGTACGCGTTGTAGAGAAGAGAGCCCGATAGACACTTAAATGAACTCATAATTTTCACGATTATTCGTGTTTTTATTTTTTTTTATTTTTTTTCTCTTTTTTTTTTGTTTAGTTTGTCCGTAATGCGATACAAGTTAGTATCCTCGTCGAGTGCTCTTAGACCCTCGCGTTTGACCTTCCTCGCTATTACGAGCAAGTTCGGCCCTCGTAAGCCGACCGCCCTCGCAGTAGTCCCTAAAAAGCCCTTCGACCGCCACTCGCCGCGGTCGCCCAAAGTTCCACAAGTGATACTCGAAACGATAAATTACGGACTTGTGTTTCAGCGTGGATCCTGGGACGGTTCATGTGCAAAGCGGTCGCTTATATACAGGGCGTCTCCGTGGCAGCCTCTGTCTACAGCCTGGTCGCGGTCTCCCTGGACAGGTACGTGCTACTCATTCGCCTTTTATATCCACGCAGGATAGATGTGTAGATGGGTGTGTAGATGGTGTGGACGTACGTAGGAAGATGCTCAACATGTATTCCATGAGCAAACGCGCGCGCGCGCGCGCGCGCGCGCATGGGTATGCTAATTCAAAGTCGATGTATCATTTAGACCGATCTTTTTTCCTCCCCTAAAACACCTTCTTGAAACTGAGATTGATTTAAATTTAATAAATGAGCGGTTTGTCGAGCGGTGCATCGTTGTATATCGACACTGCCAGAATGAATTATTTGACAAGGCCCAATGGGTCTCCGTATGAGTAAACCTGTTATACGAGCCGGGATTATAAATTAAGCCGGGAAATTAATTATCCGTATAATTATCCGGAAAGCTGGTAAGCTATTGATGAATTCTTGCGCCATTTTTTTTATATGTTTATTGTAAGATTACTAAAATTATATACAAATCTGCCTCTATGTCTGATGAAATCTAATGTTTTTCTTGCGGCAGCAACTCGTAACGGGTTCCACCGTGACACATTTATTTCTCATCAGCAATGCAATGCGCTCATGGACAATAATTATACACTGCGGTGTAACGCACACATTATCGGCATGTTTCCATTATGGTATATCGATCGTAAGTAATGAACACACACGTTATACTCGCACTCAAAATTTGTCATGTAATATATAATAGCGGTATTAATAGCGGAAACAATGTATTTCAGCGTGATATATTGTAACGCGTATCGCATCATTGGCGCTATCGTCATTACGTAAAAGTGGTATATTATTAACTGTCTCTCTCTCTCACCAACGCGTAATTTCACATAGAAACTTATTCCATATGAAAATCACGCGCGTTTGCATAAATTGACTTTTATATGCAAACGACACGGCATGCTCCTTACCGTGACACTCCCGTTTTACGAGAGAATAAAATGTAGTCCTTGTATCTCATTCATGGCGCAAATTATTACTATCTATTCGCGCAATGCCATAAAGATGCACCTGCTCGATTGAATGGTGCTCGCGCCAAAGGGACAGAGTGATGTATCTCCCGATGCAAAAGACCGGAATTAAGAAAATATTATCTCTAATCGAATATCGAAGAAAATTGGATGGAATGACCTGAAGAGGTGAAATTTATTAGGACACGTCTGAATTTTAGGAAAAAAAAAAAAAAAAAACGTTACCGCTATCAATTTCACATTAGGAGACGAGAAACGAGGCTTTCACTACGAGTGAATCCTACGAATGGTTTTATAGGATCTTCGGAAGCGATCGATCTTCTGGAAATTGCTTGGCGGAGTTGGAGAATTGTCTTTTCGCCTATCACGTGCGCAAATGGATTTTCCCACTTTTGTTGCGCGATTGACGATGGGATCAGGAACGTTTAAATACCTTTATCTCAAATCTCTGTCTCTTTATTCCTGTCTTGCGACAAAAAAAGTAGGGAAAATCTATAGACCTGTATTCTGACATAATTTTAAGAGACAAGTGCGCGTTGACTGAATCACGCGTCGAATTTGCAACGTCATTGCTACAGTTCTTCGCAAACAGCAATGCGAATTCTAAGCTACGCGCGTCCTTTTTATTTGGCGAGATAAATTTCACGGATGAGAGAAAATATTTGCCATTTGCGAGCGGCGTTATTTCCACTGGCCCATGAAGCTTTCAATAAGTCGGATAAAAGTCGGAGCTTCCGAAGCTGAAAATTCGGTGGGATCTTATTTTCGTTACGATTTCTCGTAGGAATTCACGATATATTCGGCGTTATGACATATCGCCGCATCTAAGATACGCACACACAAGCAAGCACGTTCCCTCTCGGCTATGGATGATTAAGTCTCTATCTCCAGTTTTAGTTCTCTCTGTCATTGGAATCAAGGAATGCAAGGTGGAAGAGGATGGCTTAATGTCACTCACAATTTATCTAGGACGCTAACATCTGTTAAGATAAATAAACATGCATTTGGTCTTTATATATATCGTTTCGTGTCACGCCTACACGCACACCCACTCGAAAAAGACACTATGAGTCTCGGCTTGACCCGCGATATTCGATCGCACTTGTTATGCCGCCGTGCGTTTCGCGGCATTCGTAATCGGAGTCATAATACCGCGCCGCGTTATCCAATCTCGTGCTAATTTACGCAATACTTTTCATACATTGATAAAAATTTGATTTCGCGTTCCGGAGAAGTGTCTCTCGTGACTCTCACCGCACCTTAGGATCCGTCGCTGTCGCGCGGATTAAACTCTGCTCTTCTCCTAATTTCAGACTCTCGAATGACAGGAACTATTCTAATCTCCGTGATTGCTCCGATCGTCGCGTTGAATTTCCAACATACGTCATACGGGCGAAGGTACGAAGAAATAAATAACTTAATTTCGGGAAGCACGACTCGATCCAAAACCGGATCGTCATTTCGATTAAAAAAAAATTTAATGGCAAAAAAATATCAATATTTATTCGTGACGATTGGTATGGAGTATGAAGTACACATTCATACCTGTGTAGAAGATTGAACAATACAAGTCAAATATTAGCTAAGTCTCGTGAAATATATTATACAGAAGAGTTTGAATGACAAATAAAATATTTTAAATTTATATCTGTGAATATATTAATTTTTACAATAAAAAGTTTCATATAACTTCTCTAGGTAAAACGTAATTAGAAGAAAGCATTAAATATTTTATGTAATTATTTCACGAAGCACGCATTATCTTGTTAATACATTATACTGATATTTGGCGATATTGATATATTTCCATAAGAAAAAAAATTTGAAATACGTTGTTTAACTAACATAAATTGAATTCTATGAAATGAAAATCCATGAAATTATATTTCTCAGTTATAATTTTTGCGAAATTTTTGACGAATAAATTTCTCACTTCTTACAAAAGTGTCTAATGAAGAATGAAGCTCATTGCTAAATTCCATTTTATTTCTAAAAAAATGCTCTCTGCTGTCCATAACGTGCGAAAAAGTACGAAAAGATCGAAGCCGCGGGTTTCGAGCTTGGTTGCATCTTTATGAAGCGAGTTTGCAGCCAGCGGTGAACACTAGCCGTACAATTTTTTCCCCACGCACACATACGCGAACACATTCACCCCACACACTCATACACTCGCGCTATTGTGCGTATTGCTTCGTATCAGGTATCGGTTCTGCTATGTACCGATACCTTACAACACGGAGTGTCTTAACCCAATTCTCGCGATCGACGCGAGGGGTTGAAAGCATTATTGGCGAACCGGTGGGACGTTCAAACGCGGAGACGATTGGTTCACGCGGCTACCCCACCATGCACCATGAGTGATCGGGCTGACTCAACTGACCGGCACATATCGTCATACAGATACCATGGATCACGTGAACAAATTTATGGAGATTTTTAAAAATCTCACGCGGTATATAAGACTCCCGAGTCGCCGAAACGGACACAAGCTGTCTTACTTCCGAGAAGTAATAAGCAATCCACAACCCATCAACATGTTCAAGCTGGTAAGCTAAGACAATTCCTCTAATTATAATCTCTAGATATTTTTTTATCTTTAGATATTCAAAGCTCTTTTTCCTCGATTACAATTACAAGACGGTCGAGCGAAACCGGGGACCGAGTCGCGATCGTTTCCCGGCTTGTTTGTCGATCGTTGTCGCTTGTGTCAACTCAACTTAGTGACTGGCGTATACGACTGACGATCGATGAAATCGCGAATGCCGTAAAAAGTACGCACGCTATTGTAGATAGAATAGAACGAGCGTCAATTGATTTTCTGAAACGTAAATTTCACGCAAATACGCGGCAGTATTTCCGCTGACTGATTTTACGGGGACGTCGTCGCGATTACCGTTTCTGGGGGGTTTGTTCGGTTCGTCGCGAACGCAGTTTCCACGTCGGATCCGATCGCCATCGATCCACGAAAAGAGTCGTTACGGTGCGCGATATCGAGCGAGGAGATCCGAAGATGTATACGCTCCCAAAGATTTTACGCTTCTCGTTGGAGGCGCGTCGTTATCTTCGGGCTCCGAATCGAGAGCTTTCCTTTTCGTCCCTCTCGGCTCGGAATGAGGAGGCGTCTGTACATCCCGAGAGTAAACAGAGTCTCTAATACTCCGCGGCGGGAACTCCTTTCGCCTCTCGCGCCTCCCGTGATCGATAAAGAGACTGGCTATCCCACGGTGTGCATATATGTAAACACGAGAAAAAAGATTCTCTCGGCCTCTCCCTCCGTTGACTCTCTCGCGTTTTGCTGTGACCTTTCCGCTTTTAGCATGCAAGCGCGTGCACGACACGACGACGAATTCGCCCTTACGCCCTTTCACCGGTCTCACGGCAACGGCAACCCGCGACCTCTCTTTTCGAGCGAAAATCTGTGCGAATGAAATCACTGAAGCATGCCGCCGCCGCCGCCGCCGCCGCCGTCAAAGCGGAATGTAGCTCGTGCGTTGCATTTTTTTAACGCAATTCTACCGATCGACCTCATGTTCTCTTGCGAAACGAAACATTTAATGAATCATACGCACTCCGTCTTTAACAATCAATCGGAATAATGCGGTATCTACAATTTACATCGACGAGCGGAATGATCGGATAATTGTAAGAACGATTCCGCGGTGGATGACGTCGTTCGTGAATATTCGCCAATATTATCGAAATGGCAAATGGATTCGTAATAAATTTACCGTGCAATTTTACTTTACGTTTATTGATTTTCAATTTTTGACGAAACACACGTATAAAAATCGTATCGTACGCGAGACGAAAGGATTATTACGCGATTTTATAAGCTTATTATAGAGACAATTTTTGGACGGACTGAAAGGCCGTTAAAAAGAGCGATATGAGCGGGGCTTTAAAGCGATCTTACAATCTTCTCTACAGGCTGTCTTCGCTGCCATCCTGGCTGTCGCCCTCGCCGCTCCCGGTGGTCTTACCGGTGTTGCCATCAGCCACGGCACCGGCCCGATCCTCGCCCCGGCTGTCATCTCTGCTGCCCCCGCGCTCTCACTCGGTGGTGCCCATGTGATTGCCCAGCCCGTTGCCCCCGCTGTCCATACCCCTCCTGTCGTCACCAGAACTGTCTTGGCCGGCCACGGTCTCGGTCTTGGTCTCGGCCTCGTTCACGGTTAGACTAGAAGAATCAACGTAAACACAACCCACCACCACCGAGTCACGACGACGCAGCCTAGAAAACAAAAAGACATACACACTTTCCCGACTTCCTCGACCTCGTAATGCGGAAGAAAGACAGTAACTCGAAGAAAGACAACAAATTTTGTATACTCGACTCTTCACTTCATCGTCATTCTCCACGCGTGAACCATCTGGCCCACAATCAAGCGCGGGGAAGCGAGACCCAAAAAGGAAAATGTCAGCGCGGACCGACCAGGACCCACAACACTCCGCGCGAGATCGGTCAATCTCTTTCTCCACATTTGTCTTTTCTTCGTGCTTCATCGACAAAATTTTCGGACTTTCACCTTGGATCATTTCCACCGTCATCCTGAACCCTACCCTCATTCATATGGAATTTTAATAAAATTTTAATTATAAATCTAACTCTGAGAGAGTCTTATTGTTCCAAATCACCAAGCTAGTTTTATTATGAGGGAAGAAAAATAACGTTGCTATAAAGATAACATCCTCGTTGGTCCTGCGAAAAGATTTTTATATCTTCCGTTCGCCATTCTGCATCTATCGACCTTATCGTCACGATATTTCTATACTGAATAATAGCAATTTTATGGAACATGTGTACATTATTAAGGGCGCGATAAAACTGGAGCGCGCGTATTTTTTTTTTTGTTCTTTCGATAGAGGTACATATTATAGATATATCGAGCAGATATATGCTGCATCTCATTCTACATACAACTGTTATATGTTAACGTTATTCGCGATTTATAACTGCTGCAGAGTCTGCTACAGAGCTTTATTTTACGAGTGTCTCTGCGAATCATTCTCCAAATGATCTCTCTCCCTTCATTCTCCGTCCATCCCCTGGAAATATTTTTATTCGACATAACGCTCGCCCATTGCACTCGCAATGGGTTTGTCTTATCAACTGCCATATCGAATATTGCATCTTGAACGAAATATAGCATATAGAGCGACAAAGAGTGCTGAATATCATTTTATAGCTTACATAAAATTGATACTGAGATCTGCTGGAAATTAAAGCAAAATGCAAAACGGCACGAAGTTGTTTGACTTGATTCTATTTTTTATTCGAACATAAATATTGACGTGTCTACTATACGTAATGCATTAACGCATTTCGTTCCAGACAAGGTTTCCATTTGTCTAATGCGTGACACATTCTTATTTTTGTTGATTTTTTATATGCTTTGGAAAAATAAACTTATTTTCGTTTTTATTTGTCTATAAAGTTCTTTTTTGATAAAAATTATTTTCACAATAAATTGTTTACCTTCATCATTTATAAATCATAAGTATATAAACAAAAATATTGAAAATTATATTTTTTGAGATAATATGAAATAAAAATAGAGGTGCATTTTCTTGCGAGGAATGTGATTAATTTTTCTTTTCTTTAAAATAAAATTAAAGGAAAAGTAGTAATAGAGTTGTATATGATATGGTTGTGCTTTATCACCGTAATATCTTTTATCAGAACCGTGTGTGTAATATATGTCAGTACACATTAGTATGCTGATATGTTTCTTACCTACATCTTACATAGTAGATAAGATAAAGTTTCATAATTTCTTGCAGATTTGTATGCGTAATAAAGTTTCCGTTATGAATTGTGACTAATGAAAGAACATATTTAAATGTGACATATTTAAATTCACATAAATTTATGATGCGAGAAAAATAAGACTTTATATGAAGAACTAAAGAACTGAAGAATAAAGTAACTGACACTTTTTTTAAAATAAATGTAATAATTTAACAATAAAATTTATTTATGACAATTATTAAATAAATAAAATTTGCTATTTTTTAACGTTTTGAAAATTTTTATATTATTCCACTTATTTAACAATTTCTAATTTTTCATATGATAAAATTTTTTATGAATTTTTAATATCATGTTTCTTTTTTAATTTCTGGATTTCTCTATGTTTTTATATTATTATTTATTTTTTCATGTGTATACTTTCTAACGATAAGTTACGAAGAACTGAGGTTCATTAAGATTATAAATGATCCAAAATAAAGATTGAGGGAAGATAAATGTTTCTTCTATTATAAGCATTTAATCTTGTTGCTTTACACTCTTTTCTCCACATCTGTTTCGTATTTGCTTCACATTATTTGTGCAGATCTGTTTATTGCGGCATAGCCCGTACCGCAGAGAATGCGAGACCAAAACGTACTATCCTGAAAATGTATCGCTGACAGATAACGGCTGACTTAAAACGGTATTACTTGTCCGCGAACAGCGCGATTATGCGGTATAATGCGTATTGTTTCATAAATTTTATCGGCGAACAAACCGACGGAATTGATGGTCCGTTCGATAGTCCGCGGAGTCTGCCAAAAGTCTCGGAGACGAGAGGGTCCTCTTTCGCGAAGGAGAATTAACGGAGACATCGGCGAAGAAAGATGAGGGGGGTGGGAATGGTGGGAGGAAGTGAGCGTCATAGTCGAGCACACTGCGGCGTTTTGCGACAAGAGCATATTTTATTTGGGGGATGTTCCGCGATACAGAATCATTTGGCGCGTTGCGGCGACTCGGGCGGACCACGGGATCGTTGGCGATTTTGCGAATAGCCCGAACCGACGTTAGTAACCGTAGGCCGAGCCCGGATGAATCCACCTGTAGCTGTTATAATACGCCAGAGGGACCGGGTGGTACGGGTATACTTTTACGTAGGGCGCCGTGTAGATCACCGGATAAGGAGTCAGCAAGGGCGGCAGCGGGCCTGGTTCCGGCATCGGGGCGCATGTAACCGCTACTACCGCAACAGCCATCACGAGGATCTGCGAAACAATAAGGCTGATTACGCTTTGAAAGCGGGACACGTCGCGAAAGATCGCGCGCCCGGTCTGCACTCCCCTCCCCGCACGTTTTCAATACGTACGACCACGGGCGTTTTTACGGGCGTTATGAAAAATGTCGGGGGTGTGCTCGAGCGAGCGAGCGAGCGAGGCGCATTTAGCGTCATCGGCGACTTTGACGACTCTCGATCTCGGCCTCGCTTTTTGCGATCGCGAGCTCGATATCACCTCGCTTCAATTAATCACCGAGACGATCGCACGTGCCAAGAACGAGAGCGCTGATCTTCTTGTTTTTTTTTTTTTTTTTTTTTTTTCCTTTTTCCCCGCACCGATGGTCCGCGGGAATGGCGATTCCGTTTCTCTTTTTTCCTCCTGTGTGGTAATTCAATTATCTGCTCGCGCGGATTTCACAGAAAGTTTCGGAACGCGGAAACGTTTCCGCGATACTTCGATTTCGACGGTGTGCTTTAATTTAAACACAATAACGTTTTCCCGCTTGGAAAGCGTCCTTCCGTTTCGAGAAGGATTACATCTGGCTTGATCGATCGGACGATTTTACGCGCGCGAATTGGAATGTCTGAGTGTTTTTCGATTTGAGCGATTTCGACGAATTTATGAAGCGAGAGCCGACGCGTTTATTATATAGCGAAATTGAGCGTTAGTCGTAAAACTTTCCAGTCGTAACGTAAGCGCTGGGTTAGGACGCATCCCGATTGTTATATTAAACATCGAAGACCGATGTGTCTCGTAACAACGATATAAGATTTCAGCGATAAAATTCCGAATGTCTCGAAAATTTCACTGAACGCGACACACACTTACACTCCGCGAGTCAGTATTTAAGGAATCAAGTCGCGAAAGTGAGCGGAGGAAACGAGCGCGCACACGAGGATACTTGCCGCCAGCTTGAACATGTTAAGCGTTTTATCAGCTTTATTCCCGTTAGCGAGCACGCAGGACAGCACTGATTGGATACTGCAATTGCAACTACGGGGAATCGATCCCTTTTATATAGAGATATACGTTTCCGGGATCATCATTACGAGCGCCCCACCGCGCGACCATAAGTGGCCTCGCGCGAGCGCGCCAGACTTCCGCGTTGGAGAATTTTTTTTTTTCTTTTTCAACTTTTATCGCCGCCCGCGACTCCTCGTCGCTGAGTCGACACAAGACTCGGGGGAGTCTTTCGTTGTTTATACATGATACATGTCGCGATAACCGCGACGTGTGCGGCATGTGCGCGCCACTCGGAAGTGACGCGCGCTCCGTGAGAACGCTCGAAGATTGGTATCGGCCGCATTGATTTATGGAAGGTCACGACGACAAGTATCTGAAGTTTATTCATTGAATCGAAGGCTGCGACGACGAAGACGCAGTGACGATGACGCCGGTGAGATAACGCGGAGAGAAGGGCGGCGCGCGGCCGTAACAAAGGCGAGGAAAATCCGCGAGTGCCGAGGCGAGTGCGCGGCAAAATGGCGACTTAATGAATTCGAAAGTTGTGCAGTTCTGCACGGGCGTCGGGCTCGAGAGAGAAACGTTCATTAATGGAAAGTATTCGACGTTGGACGCGGGATGGCGGACCATTTAATTAATGAGGAAAAAGAAGCACCCCCTTTCGCGCGCCCCGCCGACGTCCCGCTTTTACGGCTTCTTTGCATGACAAAGACCCGCGCTTATCCTTCCGTGGCTTATCCTCCTGCGCGGATCTCCACCGAATCTGAACGTGCTTCATCGCCATTAAGACTCCGAAGCGAAAGGATCGTCAATTGCTCTCGCTCCGCGACGCCGCGACGTCGTCGTCGTGATCGATGGTCCGCCTGCCCGTAGCGCTTCGAAGACGATTTATGTGAGTTGTATTCTGTGTTCTTACGCACGAGATGCAGGTGAATGCAATTTGCATTTGGCGTTTTGGCCGAATTGTCTTGCTCTTCTATATATCAATATCTTTTTCTCTTTGCTTAATATTTGCCAATATTATGGACCAAACGTCTCTTTTTGCAAATTTAATTCTCATTAGTTTCAAAAATAATTTAAAAAATTTTTGATTAACAATGACAATTAATATTATATTTATTTTTTTTACATTGTATTTACATGTATAATTTTGTGTACAAATGTTCACATTGAGATGTTCATTTCTCTAACTTGTAACTTGTTTCTGAAACGTGTCTATCCTTAAAAAAAAACTTGTATTAGAATGTTATAAATGATTACGTCGAGAGAGATCAGTTTAGTTGATATCAACGAAAACATGCTCCAATGAATTTTTTTGATAATGATCCGACTTGCCTTAAATAATCCGGACGCCAAGCGAGAATTCTTATGCCGCATAGAAAAGGTGTTCCTCGTATCTATTCTTACACATAGTGCTCGCGGCATGTCCGTCGAAGCGTAACGGGTGTGAGTGTCTTTCGAAAGAGCGAATGGACTATTTGTTAGCAATTCTATACGTAAGACCTAAAAATGGCGACGATCGTATGCGACAGGACCGCGATTTCTGTGCGCGTAGGCGCCCGGCTTAGCCGAACCTGTCCTGGTGGCCGTAAAATCCGCTATTCTGCATTCTTCGTGAAATAGTACAATAAATCAGAACTTATCTAATCCGTAGCTATTCTCTAAGTACAGCGAGATACAAGTTTATAGCTGACAAGATAGTTGCTAATAACTGGGAACCTTCGTTGTCTGATCAAAAGTTTCGTCCCCTTCTTATATCCTTCTGCGATAACTTAAGTTATAAAAAGTGAAGTGTTTTATATTGAACAGTTTATCCACTCTGACAATAAAATTGTAGCGAATCGTCGAGTGAAAAATATTTAGAGCATCAATATATACATTAAAAAATAAAAGTCTCAGTTATCGCTTGTATAAAAATAACTTTCTATTTGGAGCAGTTTTAGGTATCACAAAAATTCTCGATAATTGTTTATTTAAGATACATAGATATTATTTTTAAAATTATTTCCGTTTTAAATATGTATTAAAATTATATAACTCTGAAATATCTTAAGCGGATTTTTATCAATTTAAAAATAAAGACAAAGATAGAAATCATTTATTTACGCGCTATTCTTGAGCGTCTATTTAAATTCTTATCTTTAAGAAAGTTGATCGAAGAAAGTGATCGATAATAATTGACAACTTTTGTAACTTATTTTTTTCAGGTTCTTGGCGATTTGGTGGCCGCTGAAGTGTCAGATCACGAAACGGCGGGCTCGCATGATGATCGTCGTGATCTGGTTTATAGCCCTGACGATGACGTCGCCCTGGTTGTTGTTTTTCGACTTGGTCTCCATCTACGACGACGATCCCGATGTGCGTATCTGCCTGGAAACGTGGCCGCATCCCGAGGACGGTTCGCTGTTCTTCCTGATTGGCAATCTAATCCTCTGCTACGTGCTGCCGATGATACTCATATCCCTTTGCTACATTCTCATCTGGATCAAGGTATGGCGCAGGCACATACCCACCGATACCAAGGACGCCCAGATGGAGAGGATACAGCAAAAGTCGAAGGTGAAGGTGGTCAAGATGTTGGTCGTCGTCGTGATACTCTTCGTTCTCTCATGGCTGCCTCTTTACGTAATCTTCGCCGTGATCAAGCTGGGCGGCGACGTGGCCGAGAGAGTGGACGAGATCCTGCCGATCGCCACTCCGATCGCCCAGTGGCTCGGCGCCAGCAACTCCTGCATAAATCCAATCCTCTATGCCTTCTTCAACAAAAAGTACCGGCGCGGCTTCATCGCCATCCTGAAGAGCGGCCAGTGCTGCGGCAAGCTCAGGTACTACGAGACCGTAGCGATGATGTCCTCCTCGACGAGCATGAGGAAATCCTCTTACTACGTCAACAACAACAATAACAACTCGTCGACGAGACGTGCCTGGCATGGGCCGCCGGTTCACCAGGATAGCAACGTTTCCTACATATTCAATCACACTGGCGTGTAATTTGTAGTCGTTAAGTCGAGGGTACCTCGCGAGGTGATCTCGCTTTATTGTGCAGATTTGATATATATCCGGTTGGACGGTGGACAAATTGAAAGAGGACGCAGTGTGGCCTTTTGCATCTCGATCGGCCGCTCTAACGCACGGTCGAAGCTAAAATCTGGCCGAGATCAGCCAGTCCGAGAATTACGGATCATCCCTTGTTGTCGGATGATCAATACGATTGTTACTCGGGCCGGAAAGTCGCCAGTGGGAAGAGAAGAGCGGAAGGGAAGAAGAAGCCTTTCTCGACAGACCACGGAACGATCGTCGCCTTGCCATTTGTCCTTACGAAAGACGTCGTTGTTTGGATTTTGTCACAATATTAGCCACTGCGTACACGTAATATAATAGTACCTAATTGTTAAGACGAGTTACACTGCTGCGAGCGCGCGATTGCGCGACCGTTCGCCCAACGACGAAGTAGCTTTCTAGGTGATCCAGGAGACGGGATTAACGCTTCAATGAACCTTAGAACCTCTTCTATGTTTGAAATATTTCTACGGTACGTTTGAACGAAGAGTATATATACATACATATATATAGTTAAGTCTACCAATTAAATGTAAAGCTGGATGAAGTTTGTTGTTACGATTGTACATGGCGGTGCATGCACCCTCGCGTGTCGAGTACGTAATTAGCGCGACAACGGTGAGTGGTGATGATGTTGATGACTCGCGTGAGCGTAGGATACGGGTCGAGTTGTTGTATCTTGACGGTAGACATGACGGCACTTCCGCCATGACAAACAAATGACAGCCGCGCACGAGCCTCATCAGCGGGATACCTGTTGTAATTAAGAGGGGCAGAGGTCGAGCGCCCTTTTAACACTAAGGCGTAAGATTTGATTTCGGTCTATATCGATTCACGAACGGTCGTCGGGCGGAACGAGACCATTGGAAAAATAAATAGTGTAAGATCCTGGCGTTATCTGCACACATGTATCCAGTATCGCATGCCGCAGTCTCATTCGTACACATTGAAACCACCAGTTGCACCAAAAATCAAGGAATTAGATAATACGAATCTATAGTGAGACAAATGGATACACGGTAATTTGCAGATTGTTGTTAGTAGTCAGTACTCTAGTTGTGAAAGGCAGTTTGTTTATATTTCTCAGATGAGGAAGTGTCGATCACAATTTCCTCCGCAAAACTACCAATCACGTCATCTCTGACATCACTAACGTTTACTTCAGTTCTTCATGTAAATTTATTCTATAGAACAGAATAAATTCATAGAACAGAATAAAAATAAATTAATTTCTATCTGTTAGTAATAATCAACTAATTAAATCTGCGTGATTTACATCACGCTGTCTGATATTTATCTCTAATGTTTAATTTTATTACCTTTTATTCTATAATAAATTTATTCTACGTAGTGCAAAATAAGAAAAAAATTAATTAGTAATAATGAATTAATCAGACCTTTGTAAACACTGTCAACATAGTTTCCCATATTTAAAATTATAATCACTACACAAGATTGCATATATTTTCTTACCGAGACATTAACCGAAGATATCTATTTGTGATCCGCATAACGTCATTGCTCTCTATATCTACGGCTCGTGCCAAGAATATGAAAAAAAACTCACGATCATGTAAATGTATTGAGATGTTATGTAAGGATGTTTAAAAGATGGTTTCTTCTTTCCGACATTCTTTGAGGATTTTAAAAATATTTCTTGTACCATCGGGAAGCGACACTGGCCGAGTGGTGATTTTGAAATAGGATATAATATATCTGTTATCACAAGCGTTTTTTTTTCATTCTTGTTCTTGATTAATTGACAAAAAACTTTTTCTTTGAGCTTACTTGTTCGCAGCGTTGCGTTTGCACAGCGAGATTTGTCGCCGGATCATTTGATGGCAATTCTTGCGGTCTTTTAAAATCACGACGTTTATCACGCGTTTGTCGCAACTCGTTACCTTCACCGCACCGTTATCATCTATCGACGATAAAAAAAAAAAAATATTTTGTCCACCGACGCCGCGGTCGATCAGATCGCGGATTTCCGCGCGCGTTGCGACGCGACAGAGAGTTATCCACTCGTTACATTTTAAGGGCCGAGATGATCGGCTTTTGCGTTTTTTTTTTCCACAGGGGAGCGGGATTTCTTTGAATCCTTATAGCTGTAAGATGATAACGCCATAAGCGAATTGCCGGATTTTATGATAGAGCAATTATTTTCATAAGGTTTTTATACGAGAGACGAGAACATGTAGGTTTAACTGCATGTGAATTATTACAAGGCCATCGAGTCTACTTCAATTCATATCCATCGGTGGCGATTAAGTGTAAACAATGATAATAAAGTGGTATGAGAAGGGCAGAAGACACGCAAGACGTAAAATGCTTGGCAGCAGCAATTGGAGACACGTAACTG